ATAAACAGTTTTCCATATACACAAGATAACATGAAAGCATCTAAAAAGGGAAATTGATTAAAGACTTTTTTCTTCTTTTCTGTAAAGGTTTGAATTGAGTATTGCTTTGGAAGGATATAAATTGGACTTTCAAGGTTGAGGGTAAGGATGAGAAGTTCAAGTTGAATACTAACCCCACACGGAAGATAGACGTCTATAGATGATCGACCTCCCTCTAACTCATCTCTTTTTGTAGATTTCTAGAGATAGACATCTATTAGACATCTATAAACCGTCTTGCTGCTATCGATTGTGATTATAACCGTCTAAATTGAGTCTACGTGTAGATGTGCCCAGACCATATAACAATAGACATTTCTTCACACGACTAATAGACGTCTTTAAATAGATGTGAAAAGACTGTTGAAGTGTAGACGTAGTGGAGACAACTAATGTACGTCTTTATTTAGATTTAACGGAACCGGATGGCCGATTTTTAAAAACATATGTTTTAAAAGGATATTAAAGACCTAGCATTGTACCTCATATCTAGAACAAAGATTTTAAGGGACACTCTACTACCAAAGTTTTATTTTTTATATCTTAGGTGTACTTCATATCAATTTATCTGCAATATTGTTATGGACATCTTTATTATCTAGATATTGATATATCTACCTCTGGTCTAAATTACCTCTACGCGCCATCTACTTGCAGTTCACTACCATGGGTGAACGGGATATTTTGAAAATTTGGAAAATATTTCCCTTTGCTTTGGATTGAAATATGTTAAAGACAACATGGACGTGGTGAACTTAAGGCTTCATTTGAAAAAGCCTAAGTAAATTTTACACCTCAAGAAAGCCGCTTGGAATCTCAGAAGATAGATACCCGCGGTTAGCGCTCCCCTCCCAGCGAGCGTCCTGTGGTCTAGTGGTTAAGGCACCGAGATTCCAAGACGCAGGTCGCAGGTTCGACTCCAGGTAAAGGTAAGGTAAAACTTGACAATAAAATTGATATGAAGAAAGGCGGAAGAAGGGAAACTAAGAAGAAAAAGGTAAAAGCAAAATAAAGGATAAAAATTTGAAAATATTTTAACGTTAAAAAGTGCGCCATCTACTCATGTGTATAAGATAGACGTCTAAATTTAGGATCTATTAGACGTCTTTGCTAGACGTCTGTTAGACCATTTTCGATATATATGAAGACATCTTAAAGACGTCTATTAGTCGTCTATTTTCCCTGTGGGTGCTGAATGTTTCTTGACCTGTGGCAACCCTTGAGAATCAGTACACACCTTAGATTTGCCAGGTTTATTAATTGCTCCACACTGTTTAGCAGACCCATCAACGATTTCCGCTACATCATCATCATCGTCGTCTTCATCACTAGATTCCTATAAAAACCATTGATAAATATTAAAACAATGTATGATCTCGAACAGATGTCAAACTTTCTAAGAAATTTACATACCTCCTCGAGGTCTTGTTCTGAGCTGCTCGATGAGGGTTCTTTCTGCTGTTTAATTTTTGGGGGGCTTGGAGCACCTCCAGAGCACATTGATGTTGGTGGAAGATAAGGAGTGGGGGGGCACATATTTGGAACAAATTGTTGTGGGATCAACTGTTGATAGTAATAGGGATTCATGGGCTGCTGGCCCATGAACTGCATTTCTCGAGGCCTACCCATGGCCTGGGGAAAGATGGATGGAGCTAATTGCATGGCGGCGTTTGGAATTGTTTGTTGAGATGGACCTCCAAATTGCAATGATGGCATAGCGGAGTTAGGAGCTGATGGCATGAAAGGGCACGATAACAACTTTTCATCACATTTTAAGAACAATGACTTATCACAACTTTAGTTTGCTTTGGCACTTGAGATATAGTGTTTCCAGAACTTGGATGATTTAACTAAGAGTTTTAAATATTAGTTAGACGAGATCACTGAAGATCTTAATTGTGGCAACCTTTGGCAGTATGGTATCGCTGTTTGCACTTCCTGCATCTAGTATCCTTGCGTGGATCATTTGGATGCCACTTTAGAGTGTCCTTTACTTCAGCTTGTTCGCTACAGATTTGATCCATCCATTCTTGTCTACCAGTAGATTCGATGTTCAAGGTAAGTGGCATGAGTTCCCACGGCATGTCGAGTTTTAATCCTCCACAAATCATTTCCTTGTTGTGTTTGTTTATTTGATGTTTTTTCTTGTTTTTCAGTATCCACAACAACCGCACCAACATATTTAAAGACACCCTTCAACTTCAATGCGTCAGCATAAGTAAGACTGGGCAGCGCACTCATAAGTGAAGAAAGCTCGATGCGGCGCACTCCTGATAAAATGAGTTCACTAGAAATTCTTGACAATTCTTCAATAGTCATGACCCGAACTAATAACCAATTCTTGTGTGTTTTGAAGTGTCTGTACAAATTGTTGGTTATACTTGTGAATCCACATACAAAGCACATTCTTGTTGACTGACCAACGCTATGTTTCTGTAAAAGAGTAACATGTGTTAGGTGTCAGTAGTCTAAAAAAATAATAAATCTCCTTTGTTTCAGAACCTACCGAGCCAAAAACTCCTACAAGATCATCCTTTGAGGCTGCTTTTGAGGCTGCTTTAGCCTCTACATGAGACACTGACTGCTCATCCTGAAAGAGAAAAAAGGTTTGTATTACTTTTTTATGAATATAAGTGCTTTTGTTATGTTTTGTGTTGCAGAACTTACTTCTGAAGAATCGTGTAGTTCTTCACTTTTGCTTTCAGTGCGCTTACGTGTTTCCTTTGACTTTCTTAGAATCTTTCTTTTAGGGGTGCTCTGAACAATCTCCTTTTGGTAAGGGACATCCTATAAACATACATATTGTGTCAATTACCCTCCGAAAAATTACTTATATTTGTTTTCGTTGCAGAACTTACTGAATCGACAGGAGAAACTGATTTTTTCCTGTTTTCATCTACAGATTCTTGCACTTGACGGGTAGAATCATCATCGTGCAACATCAAAGTTCTCTGTTACTTTTACTGAGAAAAATGTAAAAAAATGCAGGTAGGTCATGTTTGAAATTACAGTACGTACTGTATTGGATAATGCGTTTTCAATCTGGGACACTGCATTCTCCACAATCTCAGTCTCTTTAAGTGGGGTGTCTTGAGTTTTGTTTGTCAATTGATCACCGTCCGTGTCAAGATTACTAGCATCCGAATCCTATAAGAATTTTTTTTTTGTTACGTTTACGATGAAAAAGGAAAGAAAATGTATGTTTGATGTGTTTTTGCTGCAAAACTTACGAAACCTACCTCATCAGAGCTACTCGAACTTAAATTTCTGGATGGTGCTATACCATGTGCCGTTTTGGTAAAATTAGGTGGACTGTAAGTCTTATCTTTAACCGACTGCAACAAAATATTTAGAATAAAGAATTACAATGTGAACAATCAGTTACAATGTGCAAATAAGGTATCGTCTTTGTTGGAGAGAAAGTCGTACGTCATCGTCATCGTCGGTCGATTCCGGCTCTCTGAATGCATTTTTCAGCTTTGGTCTAGCAGTCTCAAAGATCCCACTCTCAACTGACGAATCAGAATCCTCGCTATCCGAGCTATTACTGCTGGAATTGTCAGAACTTGAGCTGCTTGAGCTTTTGGAGCTGACCGCAGCTTTTTTTTACTTCAGTAGGCCCTTCAGTAGGTTTACTGTCAGTAGTGTCCGATAGATCAGGAAGAGACTGCAGAAAAGTATCGTTGTAAACACATCGTAAGAAAAATAATAAAATTTCAACTAAGAATTAAATTACCCCATAATCTTCTGAAGGACCTGGCACGGGATTCACAGGATTCAAAACAACATTAAAACTTTCAGGCTCTTGTTCCTGTGTTTCTGTAAGAATACATAATAATACTATTATACAAGAAAACCATTTTGCAAGAAACTATTGCAACGTCAAAACTCTCCATCACCTATAGTTTATGTACTTGCTGTCGTCCACTACATTTGTGGGAGATATTCTTTCCTTTTTAACCTCATCTGCACAGAAAAATGACAGAGTTAAGAAAGTAGGTTCTTTTTACATTGAGTTTTATTCACATGCTTAAGAAAAAAGTTACCGAAGAGTCTGAAAGGTGGAGCCGCAGCTGCAATCTGAAAGTAATTGGTGATAGCCCGGCTACTGTCCCCTCTATTTAGTGCGGTTGGCGTTCCACTTCTCTTCCGCCTCACCATCGAGCCATTTCTTCCTGTAAAGATCGATTCAGAAAATAACGAAAACGTCTAGTGGTAAAAGTAAGTCGGTACTAATTTATGAAAGGTACCTTTCTTGCTCAAAGCATCGGAGCGGAGCCAATTAGTTTTCCACAAAATTAAACTAGAACAGACAATTAAAGGAAAGAAAATCATAAGTCAAGAAAGCAAATGTTCGATAATAGACTTTGAGGGGAAATGAGACACATGAGAAACACATCACAGTTTTATAACTTTTTTTATTATTTTGTAGTTAGCTATAGTTACAGGAAAAATTCGAAGTGAAAGTTTTGTGATTGAAGAAAAAAAAACAATTTGTTTTCAATTTGTTATATTTATACAGTGTGCGTAATAGTCTCACATAACAAAATGTATGTGTGATATGTGAGAATACAGACGACAAGAAGTAAATGAAAAATGCTTGTGAAACCTATTTATTACTGCCCGTAAACAAGAGAATGATTTAATCAACACTAAAAACACAGAGCTGAAGTTTTATTACAAAGCGTACGATGGATAAAAATCAAAAACAGGTAGCAAAAGGAATAATAAAACAGGAATTCTAAAGTAAATCCTTAAGTTTGATTACTAAAGCATTTATAAACAAAATGAATAGTTGAAAACTTGCAGATTATTACACTTAAGCGAACACACGAAGAAAAGCGAAAACATTATAAAAACGATT